GTAGATACACTCCTTGGAGAGATTAATCATGGGAGAATAAGGGCTGTGTATGTACAGGGAGACAGCTGGGAGGGGGGCAGGAGTGCATGGAAGGGAAGGACACAGGGAAGAGGTGGCTATGGGGAGGAAGTGGGAGGAAAGCTGTTGCATTGTGGGAGATTGCAGTCAATGTCATGAGACAAAGCGTATGTGAACTGCTGTGTATGGAAGATAAATATGCTCTGTAAACTTTCAGCCAAATCACAATAAAAAATTTTTAAAAAAATGTTCTCTGCCCCATTGTTATTGCTAGCAAAAGGCTAGAACATCCTAAGTGTCTAACCACAGGGGACTGGATACATAAAAATTATAGGCCACCCATATACTGGAAATCTCTACAGCAGATACAAGAAATGACATAGATATTTATATGAAAATATGCCAGGATATATTGCAAAGTGAGGGGGGAAAAAAAGGCAAGTTACACAACACTAGGTACAATATGAACTCATTTCTATTTAAAATGTATATGTGACTGTGCATTGAAAAATATCCAAAGGAAAAAATATCCAAAGGATATACACATCAAAGGAGAGCTGGTGGCATAGTGCCTAAGGCATGTTGACTGCTAACCAGAAAGCTGACGTTTCAAACCCACCAGCCACTCCTCGGAAGGAAGACTGGGCAATCTACTTCTGTAGAGATACCGGCCTCAGAAACCCAAGGGAGGGGTCACTATGAGTTGGAATCTGCTGGACGGCAGTGAGTTTGGTTTTTTGGTTGTATACACATCAAGTTGTTGTTGTTGTTGTTATGTGCCGTCTAGTCGGCCCGGACTCATGGCGACCCCTCCTTGGGTTTCCGAGGCAGTATCACTACGGAAGTAGGATTGCCCAACCTTCCTTCCGAGGAGTGGCTGATGGGTTTGAACCGCCAGCCGTCTGGTTAGCAGGCAAGTGTCTTAGCCATTATGCTACCAGAGCTCCCACACATCAAGTAGTAAGGAGGATTTACCGATAGGTTGGTAGGTAGGTCAGTGGGTGGGTAGGGGAGTCCCTAGGTGATGCAGTGTTGCAGAGCCACCTCCAAAGAAAGGCCTGGTGATCTACTTCCAAAAAAATCAGCCGAAGATAACCTGTGGAGCACGGTTCTACTTTGACACTTGAGGGGTCGCCAAGAGTTGGAATCAACTGCAAAGCAGATGGTTTTGTAGGTAGGTATATAGGTAGGTCTGTATGTATGTTAAGTACATACTTATAAAGGAAGTGAGCTCCCTATCCCCTGAGGTGTGCAAACAGAGGCTGGCTGCCTCGTTTTCAGGGATGCTGCAGAAGGGATTTCCACATGGGCTCGTAAGTGACCTCTGGTTCCCTAGCTCTGAAAATCTGAGAGAGGGGAAGTCAGGACTGGAAGAAGGACCTACCCCAAAGGGGAAAGGGTTAAGCGGGGTTGGCGCGCCTGTGGGCGGGCTCAGCGATCGGCAGCGCCGTGCTCTGTTAGCCAAGTCTGAGCATCTCGGAGGATGCGGCGCGGCGAACGGCTCCAGGGACGCGCGCAAGGTGAACGCGGGGGCTGCGGGCGCGGCGCCCAGGTGAGGAGGAGGTGGCCGAGGGAGGGGGCGATGGCGGAGCCGCCGCAGGGAGCGTGGCCTTTAGCCCCCGTCGTGGTCGTGGGTGGCGGGGCCTACACAGCACCCACCTCCATCCAGGGACACTGCGGGAAGGCGTGGAGCCAGGGGCCAGGAGACCCAGGAGAGGTAACCGGAGATGGGCCAGCTCCCGGAGGCTGCCCTGCGGCGGCCCTGCCCTGCCCCCAGGCTGGCCTCTCACAGCCCCTGCAGCAGGAGCTCCCCACCCCTCAAGCTCTCCAGGAGTGGGGGCGCAGGGGTGGGTGAGTGCCCTCCTTGTTGGCAGAAACCCACATCTGTTGGGTTGGTGATGGTCTGATGGCATATGTACGTCACTGAAGGCCCAACTCAACTGTCTCCTCCTCTACAAAGCCTTCCGCACCCCCTGGGCAAAATGAGCCACAGTGTGCTTCCACAGCCCCCAGTATTTTCACTGGCTAGCTGTGTGACCTTGGGCGAGTGGCTCAACCTCTCTGCACCTCGGTTTCCTTCCCTATCAAATGGGTGTAACTTCACCTGCTTGTGTTGTAGGGGTTGAATGAGTTCAGGGACAGGCAGCTAAGCTTAGCACAAGAGCTTAACTAGGAAAGCACTCAACATTGGAGGAGCACTATTGTTAACAAACGAATACTTGTGCTGTTCAAGACCTTTCTGTCCTGTCCCCTTAGCTCACCTCCACTCCCAACCCTGGAGCTGAAGCCTCTTTTTGAGTCCCCAGCATCCAGCCTTGGCCAGGAGCAGAGTGCAGGGCTTGGTGAATGTTTGAGATGGCCCACCAGGGCTTTACAACAAAGTCTAAATTTGGATTTTGGGGATATGAGCCCCTTGAAACTGTCCACAACCTTCAGTGAGCCTGGGCATTTTTCTGAAGTTTTCACCAGGTGGTCAAAGGATCTGTGAGCCACCAAGGGTTAGGAACCAAGTTGCTGGGGAGCCAGCTGCTGCTTAAGTGGAAGGGAACAGGGCTTCTGCCCCCAAAACACACCTAGGTTTTAGCTCTCAGAGGTGCTATCCCCTCCTCCTGGCCACAGGACCCCTTCCTGCCTCCCTGGCTCAAGGACTGTAAGGAACAGAACCCTTTAATGAGGTTCATCTGGTGTGTAGCCTTGGAAGGGAGGAGGATGGAGATAAGAAATGAAAGATTCAAACCCAGCCTTGGGGGAGCCCCAGTTCAGTGGAGGAGCTAGGAGATTAAAACACAGGGTGACCAGGGGGATCGGGGAAGGAGGCATCCTAAGGGTGGTAATGTCTAAACTGAAACAAGCCACCATCAGATCTTAGCTGGGTGTGTGCATGGGCTTCTGTCCCCTTTTTAAAACACTAATAATCACTAAACATTTTTTTTGTTTTCTTTTGGTTTTTTGAATCACTAATCAGACCTTGCCACTAATTGCTTACCAATGGCTCCCTGTGGCATTTAGAATAAAATCCAAGTACCTTACCATGGCCTATAAAACCCGTTGTGATCTAGTCACTGATCTTCTGACTTCACCTCCCTCTCCTACTTTCTCCTTCGTTTGCTGTGCTTTGGCCACACCAGCCTTCTTATTTCTTGAACTCATCCAGTTCATAACAGCTTCACAGCTTTTCCACTTGCTGTTCTCTCTGCCAAATGCTTTCTCCTCATATCTTCAAATGACTGGCTCCTTCTTATTTAAGCATTTAGCTTAAATGTTACCTCAAAGAGGCCTTCCTAACACCCCCTTTACCCCTCATTCTTCTAGCTCTTAACATTTAAGTTTTATATAAGAGCCCTGCTTGAGTTAGCTTCTCTTGTTATCCCCATTTTATAGATGGGTAAACCACAATGCAGAGAGGTAAAGTAACTTACCCGGGAGATGGTGAGGCTGGGATCCAAACCCAGGTCCCTCCTCAAGTGCAGAAGTATGTTCCTTTCCCTCCCCACCTCACTGATATTTGAGCTGGGCCTGCAAGAATAGGATTTCAGCAAGTGAAAAAAGGAGGAAGAAGAGGGCGTTTCAGGCTGAGAGAACAGCAGGAGCAAAGGCTCGCAGCATCAGATAGTCCAGTAGGTGTCAGAGAGAATAGGTGAGCAGCCTGGCATGGCCTTGGAAGGCTAGGTGAGGAGCTTGTATTCTCTCCCAAAGGTGATGGACACCATTGAAGGTTTTGAAGCAAGGCAAGTGGCATGACCAGAGGTGCAGTTTTAAAAGGTCACTCTGGGTAGATGGAGAGGTTGAGCAGGAAGGAAGAGGGTAGAGTGAGGGAGAAGCTGCTGCCTCATGTCAGTCTTCTGTCTTCCCCACCAGCCACTTTGGGGCAGCCACAGGAGCCCCCAGCCTCACATGTCATCCCCTCTCCCTTTTTAGGTTTATCCAGTGAAGACTGGACTGGAGGGCTCTAGGCCCGGGCGTTGGTGTGGACCATGACCCGTTATGTGTGTAGCCTCCTATTGCCGTTGCTGTTGCTGCTGCTGCCCCTGGGGGCTGGGCCTGCCCTGGGCAGGGCCCTTACCAAGACTCTGGAGGACTCAGAACCACCCCTGATCCCAGGAGCTCACCCCAAGGGCCCCGTGGGCACAAAGCCGCAGGCCCTCGATGTCCTCTGGGACAGTCCCAGGGATGAGCACTCTTGGAACTCTGGTGTGCTCCAGGCCCGCGCCAAAGAGATGCCTGAGAGGCCTGCAGATGCTCCCCTTGGCCCAGCCCTGCATGGGCCCAAAGCAACCCACGGGGCTCAGAAAGAAGGACTCCCAGTCACTGATGACCTCCAGACGGCTCGAGGGCCAAGCTCCCAGGGATGGACAGGATATGCTGACCCTCAGGAACCTCTGGAGAAGGAAGCACTAGCCCCCCGTCCAATGGGGCTTCCCCATCTGATTTTCATTCCTACAACTCCCAGACTTCAACTCAGGGTAGCCACAATTCCACCCTCCCCAGGGGATCCTGGGAGCCAGGCAGGGCAGCCACCACCTAGAGACGAGGGTCTGACAGCCGAGGCCAAGATCAGGGATCTAGAGTCTCTCCCCTTGGACCATCAGGACCCTCCCCCGACTCTTGGGCCCCACTGGGGCACTGTCAGGAGGCCAGTGCTGACAGAACAGGGTGGAGATGAGGAGGAAGACTTCCAGGAGGCAGCTGGAGGCCCCCTCTTCACCCAGCAGGATTCAGCAGCCCCTGATGTTGGCTCAGTGTTCCCTGTTGAGGGGGCACCCTCTCAGGATCCTCAGGCCCACCCAGACCTAGCATTGACCAGAAGCCTTCCTCCTGCTGAGGAGTTGCCAGTGGAGCCCCCCCAAAAGGCTGGAGCTGGGAACAACCAGGAAGTCACCTTCCCAGCCCCCTTGCCCAAGCAGACTGACCTCCCTGATGCTAAGGGTTTACCAGGATCCCAGAGCTCAGGACCCCCAGCTTCAGAGGCTCCTGATGGACAGCCCAAGCCAGGTGGGTATCAAAGGGAGGGTGCTGATCAGGGCTGGGAGAGGACACTGTTTCAGGGCAGCTGAATGCCAAGTTTCTGTGTGACTTCTCGTCCCTCTGGGTCTCATTTTCCTCATACTGGCAAATGTGATTTGGGTGATTGTGCCTCCTTCCTAGGGAATCAGATTTTGGGGACCGCCAGAGGACTAGGCAAAGGGATAACTGCTTTTGTTATTTCAGAGATATCAGCAACGAATGGAGCAGACCCCATCTCCCCCCAGCGGGTGAGAGGGGCAGTAGAGACCCCGGGCACTCCCGAGTCCCCTATCCCTGTCCCCTCGGACCTTGGCCCAGCTACAAACCAAACAGAGAGCCCTGTGGGAGCCCTACAGCCAGGTGAGGGTATGGCTGGGCATTTGGGGAGTGGGAGTACTCTGTCCAATAACAAAGAGCCTGTATGAGGTATATATGTGGGGGCAGGGAGGGGTAAATGAAGATAAACACCTGCTTGGAGGAATTGGCCTAAGGAGCTCTGGTGGCATAGTGCCTAAGGCATTTGACTGCTAATCAGAAGGTTGGCAGTTCAAACCCACGAGCCACTCCGCAAAAGAAAGAGGGGGCAATATATTTCTGTAAAGATTTATCACCTCGGAAACCCAAAGAGGGGTCGCTGTGAATTGACAAGATGGCAGTGAGTTTTTTTTTTGTTTGTTTTTATTTAGAGAAATTGGCCAGAATCTCCTTCAAACTCTTTCAGATAATTAACTAATACTACTTTAGAAAAGTAATTTGCCCTTTGGGGGCTAGAATGTTCTTATGTGTAACATGGGTGTATTTAGTACAGTGATTCTCCAGTCCCACAAATCTCTGGAGGAGCTTCTCAAAAATTCCAATGTCCAGGCCCCATTCTAAGAAATTTTGGTTCAGTTGATCTCCAAGTGATTCTAATATGCAGCCATGTTGAGAACTGTTGGTGTATTACTTCCCTGTATTATTATAACAATGACAGCTCACATCCATTTAGCCCTTATTAGGTGCTGGGCACTATGCTAAACATTTAATCCTTACCACAACCTAATGAGGTAAGTGCTATTACCATCCCCATTTTACAGATGTGCCTAGAAATGTTAAGTAACTTGCTCATCACTCAACTAGAGAATGATGGAAAATCAAAATCACTTTTCAAAGGGCTGATTCAATATTATTATTTGCAGATGAAACTGAGGAATGGCCGAGGCGCCCCCAAAGCCATCCCCCAGCACCCCCAGTCCAGGCTCCCTCTACCTCCCGCCGGGGCCTCATTCGGGTAACCACTCAGCGAGCCCTGGCTCAGCCGCCCCCTCCAGAGCCCTCAGCCAGCTCCATGGTGTCAGCTCCAGCCTCCAGTCCACCAGCCAACGTCACCGCACCCCCGTTGCGCTGGGGTCCCCTACGTCGGGTGTTGAGCTTTTCCTGGGAGTTGCACGTCTATGGAGTGGGGGCACTTTTCCTGCTGCCAGCGTTGTTGGCACTGGCCACGCTGGCAGCTGCCCCAGCAGGACCCCGACTGGCACTGGTGGCAGCGGTGCTGGTGCTAATGGCATCGGGTCTCCGATCAGCCTACATGCTCACAGATCCCTACGGCTCCCAGGCGCGGCTAGGTGTACGTGCCGGTCTAATGCTCTACAACCTGCCCTTCCCCTTGCTGCTCACGGCGCTGGCAGCCTTAACCCTGCTCGGCCTGGGAGCTGGGTTACCACCGCCACTGCAAAACCCACTCCTGCTGGGAGCGTTGGCGTTGGCGCACGGTGTAGGGCTGCTTGCTGCAGACCTCCTGTCGGCGATGCCGGCGCTCAACCTCCTGGTACAGGGCTTATCGTGCGCCTGGGGCGCAGCTGTGGCACTGGGAACTCTCTGTCTTTGCCGACGCCGCCTCCTGGATGGGCCGCGGGGCTGGGACTCTAGCCCGGGACCACGACTGCTGGCTGTGGCTGGTGCGCTGGGGCTACTGGCCAGTGGCTTGCAGCTGGCGGCCGCGTTGTGGCTGTACCCGGGCCCAGGCCGTGTTGGCCGCTTCTCGTGGGCCTGGTGGGGCGTCCACTTCTGGCTGCGCCTGCTGGAGCTGACGTGGGCGCTGGTCCTGGCGCTGGCCGCTGTGGCTGCCGCGCGTCCCAGGCCGCCCACGGAGCATGCTTGCTGGGCCAAGCTGCTGCGCCTGGCGTGCCCTGCGCCGTCAGGCAAGAGCGAGGTGCCCGAGCGACCCAATAACTGCTACGCAGCTGCAGGGCCCAGCGGCGTTGGCACAGGCAGCTTGAACATCAGCAAGAGCCTCATCCGAAACCCTGCGGAAGGTGGACTGCCTACCACGCCCAGTTCTGGCGCCTGGGGCTCTGCTGCGTCGCTAGGCCGCTGTCCCCAGGGTGGCCCGGGACTGTCCCGCAGCAGCGTGGGGCAGGCGCCGTCGTTGAGCGAGCTGGACCTCCGGCCACCATCGCCCATCAACTTAAGCCGAAGCATCGACGCAGCGCTCTTCCGAGAGCACTTGGTGCGAGACAGCGTATTCCGGCGCTGCGGCCTCCGTGGCCTGCTCTCCCCGCCGCCTGGGGGCGCTATGCGGCCCCGCCGGGGCAGCCATCCGGACGCAGAGCTGGATGGCATGGGCTCTTCGCTCCTCCGCGGCCGCTGCCGGTCGCTCAGCGACGTGCGCATGCGTGGGCCGGTCCCACAACATGTTGTGGACGAGGCTGACCGTGCAGCCGCCCGGGCTGCTTCAGGCAGCTCCCTAGATAGCTTCTCCAGGGGCTCACTTAAGATCAGCTGGAACCCATGGCGCCATGGGCTGTCGTCAGTGGACAGCCTGCCACTAGATGAGCTGCCCAGTACGGTACAGCTACTGCCCGCCCCGTCCTCTGCCCCTGTCCCAACTCGGCCTGGCGAGCCCCAAGGAGAAGTCCAGACACGCTCCAAGCCTGGGGACTCCCGAAGCGCCTCCAGTGATACCATTGAGCTCTAAGCAGTGCAAGGAAGCTGACCGGGACCTCCTTCTAAATGACAACACGGGCTCAGCCGACTCAGACATTTGAGTGTTTGCAAAACTGGCATTTCCAGGCCATCACCCGACTGCAGCTCCTGGGGAACAGCCAGGAGTAAATCTACCCCACTGTATTTTGTTTTTTAAAAAATATCTCTATTTTTTTCAGCGGGTATTTTGCACAAAGGCCGCAACCTGCGCGGAATACAGGGTGGACATGCATGAACTTGGCTATGGAAGACTGGGACTAAGTGCCCCAAGCACCACTCCAGTCTCCCCAGTATGGAGAGATGAAGCTCGCTTGTCCAGACTGTGCTTTGTGCCAAAGAAATAAACCCTTAGAACTTGGCTCATGCCTCCCTCTAGCAACACCAGGGTCCTGAACTCCCCAGCAGAGGAAGGGTAGGACCTCCCTTTCCCCAATAACTCCAAGTTCTGTGTTATGTCAAGGAGGGCATAACTTTCAGAGGATAAAGACCCTGGACCCTTGGAAGCTTTAGTAATAATGCTACCAATATTACTGAGCATTTGTGATCTGTTGTACACCAACTACAGCTCTTTACATTCATAATCTCATTTAATTCTCATATTATCATGCCCGTTTTACAGGTGCAAAATGGGGCATTCAAGGGTGAAAGTCCTTTGTCCAGGATCCTGCAGCAAATAGCAGAGCTGTTACTGAATCCAGAAAATTCTGTTCCTAAGTGTGGTTCCTCCACCCCCCTTCTAACACTGCTTTAGGACTCTCCTAGATCCTCCTCTTAGTTCTCCCCCATCAGGACAGCCCCCAGTTTCCCAGGGTTTTAGAAAACTCCATAGCTCCTGGGGGAGGAACAGAATGGGAATCTCTTAAGTAGTTTAGGCCACAACGTGGGGTGGGGGGGGCAGAGGCCGGGGGAAGGGGGCCACACTAAGGCTGAAACTCCTCCATTTTCCAAGACCTTTATTTCCTGAGATGAATAAATAAATCAGTGGGGAGGTGAGTCTGAACAGAAGCTGGCAGCATGCAGCAGGCAGGAGGGGCTGCGATGACCCCACCCCTGCCTAGAACCCAACCCCCCATCCTGGGCAGGGACCCAAGCTCACTAGCAGCCACCATAATGTGAAACTTAAAACACTGACACTGTGAAGCCTGCCCAGCCTTGCAGGCAGAGATCTCATGGTACCTAACCTCAGGCTACTTTTTCATCCCAGAGGCCCTGCCTACTCAGGCTTCAGTATCTGGGTTGCTCCATAAGGTAGGCAGGGGATGCTAATCCTGCTCTCAAAAATAAACCAAGTGGCCTCTAGTGTCCAGGTAGAAGAGAGAATAGACCCTGGTGGTGGAGGGGGGCAGCCCAGGTAGAAACACCCTGCAGGTGGCAGCAGGGATTATCTGCCCTTGATGAAACCCTCCAGCACTCGATCACTGCGCTCGGACAACCAGTAGCCAGTCATGGCAGCCACAGCCCCGATGAAGATGGCAGTGAAGACCAAATCACCCTTGGCAGCCAGTGTGGCCAATGCACAGATGATGACACCGAAGAACATCTGCTGCAGCACCACTAGCTCATCCTCTGTCATTTCTGAGAAGAAGCCCGCTGACTCTACAGAGGAATTAGAGCCACAGCCTGTCACTCCCACCCATTCCTGGCATTCACGGGGCATCCCACAGCTCCCACACATCTGACTGTCATTGCTGCCATGCTTGCCCAGGATGCTGGGCACACACATCATTTACTGCTCTGCAAGGGTCAGTTATCCCTGCCTCAATAAATAGGCTCAGAGAGGTGAAGGAGTTTTTACCCCAGGCCACACGGTGGAAGGTCGGGGCAGAGCCAGACTGCTGGATTTAAACTCGCTGCAACCCACTCCCTATGTGGCCCTGGGCAAATTGCTCCACCTCTCTGTGTCTTAGTTTCCTCAGATGGAAAACAGGATGAGGATAATACCTCTGCATCAGTTTGTTTGAGGGATTAAATAAATGAACACATACACAGTCCATGGGACAAGAGCTGGCATACAGAAAGAGGTACAGAAGTAGTGGTTATCACCATCATTGTGATTATCATTCATCTCACCACATCCTACTCCCTGAAGTGGCTCTCAGGGCAGGACCAGGGCAAGGACTAGTCCCACTGACAGATGAGGAAACAGCTTTGGCAAGGCAGAGGGACTGATGCCAAGTCCAATTCTCTTTCCATCCTGGGATGTGAACAGCCTCAAAACCAGCCTAGAGATCAGCTGGAGGGTCTGGGTCTCAGTGTAGTCTCTGGATAAAGTAGGGGTGGGGCAGGCAGAACCTGTAGCTACCTGGAGAAAGGGCTTGTCCTCCTTCCCCAACAATAAGGCCCTCCATCCCCAAGGGGTCTCTGGAGACCAGGATGGGCTCACCTGGGATCTGTTCCTTCACACAGATGCCCTCCATCTGTTTGTAGCCCTCAGCGCAGACACAGCGATAACCGCCCTCTGTGTTCTCACACTGCTCATTTGCTCCTGGACACACCTCTGTCTCGCACTCATCCATATCTCGAGGGAGGGGTATATGGGGTCAAATTCCTGATCACCTTTACTCCATCTCACATCCTAACACTGCCTGTGCCCAGGCAGCACTGCCCCCCTTCTTCCCCTCCATGCCCACTCTCCAGCCCCTTTTCAACCCATGGTGGGGAAAAGCTGCCAGCAGCAGGAGACTCACCGAGACACTTGGAGCCCACCTGCTGGTAGCCAGGGCTGCATTTCTTACAGCGGCCGGGGCCGGCCCCCATGCAACCCAGGCAGGCCTTGGCACAGTCTGAGGGGGACAGGAAAGAAGAGGGTGAGAGCTATCCCTAGGCCCAGGGAGCTGTGCTGTCCAAGAGGAGGCCCAGGGGGATTTTGGAGCCTGAGGCAGCGAAGTTTGTGGGGACAGGCACAAGAGTAGGAGATCTTCCTATTCTTTTCATACCTCCTCTACAGAGTGGACACTGACCTCGGCACTCATACGAGCCCTCTGTGTTCACGCAGAACTGGTCGGCTTTACAGCTGGCTTGCTCTGTGCCACACTCGTCAATGTCTATAGAGAGAAAGATGGAGGGCAAGGAGATGTTGTCAATCCTAATGTTACTACAGGGATCTGAGGCTAGAGAAGGCAGGGAATGAACTTGTCCAGGATTAGACGGTGTGGCAGAGACAGCAAGCTGTTCACCAACACAGAAGCAGCATTGCAGCTGGTGTCAGGGCCACCCATTTTCCAACCTGCCCTGCAGCTAAGTGTACCCACATAGGACTGAGTTCTGGCCATGAGAATGTACACAGAAATGATGTGTTCCATTTTTAGCTTGGCTTTAAAGCAGTGGGCTTGGACTCTTCCATGCTTTCTTCCCCCTCCTCACTTCAAGTGTTGGAACATAGAACATGGAAGTGCCCCTGAACCAGCCTCAACTATGCAGACAACACTCAAGGGAATAACTGGGAAATAAGAGAGGAGAAACCAGGTTTACAAAGGACTGTAGCAAGAAGACCTTCCCTGCCACTCACTCTGGGACTGTGACGTGAGAAAAAAAACAATCTCTATAGTCTTTTAAAAAGGAGCTCTGGTGGGTCACTGGTTAAAGCATTTGGTTGCTAACCAAAAGGTTGGTGGTTTAAACCTACCAGCTGCCCAGTGGGAGAAAGATGAAGCAGTCTGCTTCCATAAAGATTTAAGCCCTGGAAACCCTATGGGGCAATTCTTGTTTGCGATATAGCTCACTATGAGTCAGAATCGACTCGATGGCATGGGTTTACATTCTTCAAATCATATTATTTTGGGGATATTTTTGTTACAGCAGCTTAGTCTACATGAGTGGACAAAAATAAGTCTTGAACACAGGTTTCCTGACCCCAAGTTCAGTATCCTCATTCTCTTGGCTAACCTCTCCTTAATTTTCAAGACTTGGCCCATGAGAAATCCTTTAAGAAGACTTTCAATTCTCAACCAGCCTCACCACTGAGCTGGACCAGGCACATCTCTCACTGCACACATATCAGTCTGCACTGTAAGTGCCTGACTACTTATCTATCTGCCTTCCCACCCAAGCTGAACTCTCCATGAAGATGGAGACGATGTTAGTGTAGTTCAAGGACGTGTATGCTGAGGGAATGTGGACCAAGCCCATCCTTCCTAGACCCAAGGCAGGGCCCCACTCACCTATACACTTGAGATGATGCAAGGCCCAGCCCTTTCTGCACTGCAAGCAGTTTGATTCCTCAGGTCCTGAGCAGCGGGCACAGGGGCCAAAACAAGCTAGGTGGAAGAGGGCAATGTGAGGATAGGCAGGCATACACCCACCTGCCCCTGCCCAGCACCAGTCCTTTGGCTACCTACCCGAACATACCAGATGGCTGGCATTGCGCTCTGCCTCAAAGTAGCCAAGGCCACACTGGCCACACGCCTCACCCCCGTAGCCAGCTTGGCAGTCACAGCGTCCACTGCCCCCTCGGGTCCCTTCCCCTTCACACTGTCCATAGCCACCACAGGGTTTCTCTGCACCCCCAGGACAAGCTGTGGGTAGACACCAGCCAGATGAGAGCTTATACACCACTTTGGACATAAATAACATTTTCCCCATATTATTAAACGTCTTTGGACAGAAAACTTAATTTTAAATGACAGCACAACATTTTGCCATAGTATTCCATGAAATTTACTTAACCAATCCCCTACTATGGCAAAATATTTACAAATCTTTATTTAGTTACTCATTTATTAAATAAAGACTAGGTTGACCATCTTTGTAGTTAACTTTTTATCTGCAGTTTCAGGAGATATTTTCTTCAAAAAGGTTGGTACTAAGTCAGCTCCTCTCGCCTCAGGACCATATGTAGGGATGGGTAGTGACAGTGCCACTTCAGGCAGCACCAGCCCCTTTTTAAGAAAGGAGCCAGGGGATAGGGCCTGGTCAATCCAGGCACTGAAAATGAGGGCCTCAGGGGCCAGCACTTCCCTAATAAAGTAATCACAGCCATATCTGGCTCAGTCC